TACTGCTAAACTCCAAAAGATTGGCTCAAAGACAGAATTCAAAATAGAATTGCACCATGTGCAATTAATTTCATCTAAATGCACTTGCCTTCTTCAAAAAAATTAAATAATATGGGGCCAACCGAGTGGCTCAGTTGGTTAAGAGTGTGAGCTCTGAGCAACAGGGTCGCTGGTTCAATTCCCATATGGGCCAGTGAGCTGCACCCAAGCTGAGCTGCCCCTGAGCTGCCAACAGGTGGCAGGATGGCTCAGCTGATGCTCCTAACAACAAGGTTGCCAGTTGGACTCCTACATGGGATGGTGGGCTATGCCCACCTGCAACTAAGATTGAACATGGCACCTTGAGCTGAGATGCCCTGAGCTGCCGATGGGCGGCTGGATGGCTCAGTGGTTAGAATGTGTACTCTTAGCAACAAGGTTGTCAGTTCGACTCTTGCATGGGATGGTGGGCTATGCCCACCTGCAACTAAGATTGAACACGGCACCTTGAAACGAGCGACCGCGAGCTGCCCACGGGTGGCTGGATGGTGACTGGACTTGGAGCTGAGCTAACTGCACCCTCCACAACTAAGATTGAAGGACAACAACTTGGCTGTTCTCCTTCCCCAATTCCCCAATTTAAAAAAAAATTTTTTTAATTTAAATAATAATATTGCATGTCAATTACACCTCAATAAAAAAATAATGGTAGGGATCATAGAAGGGAAACAGGCAATTCCAATGTCAACAGTGCAGGCAGGTCTGACTGCCATTCTATTTTCTGAGCATGCACTGCAGAATAAGGGCAGGAGATCCCCCGCAGACAGACCACCCTCGTGGGCCCGGCTGCTGCTCGCAGTGCAGGTTCCTGGGCCATCCCCTCTCGATTTAATCTCTGAGTGACTTCCCATGCCCCACTTGGATTTTTGGTTCTTCTTTTCCACTTGTTCCCTGGATCAAATTCCTTCTGGTGTACTGCCCATATGGCAATGTTTGCCTGGCTGAATCTTGATTGATACAGAATATTTATTTGGATCATGTTAAATGTATAAATTAACTTGGGGAAAATTGACCTCTCTGTGATGCTGTCTTTCTATCCAACAACATGATGTGTTGATGTGTCCTTCCTGTTAGTGAAGTCATCTCTAGCTCCCATGGAATTTCAAAGTTGTTTTATTTAGGACTTGCCTTTTTGTTTGTTTGTTTGTTTTAGTTTATTGAGTTTCTTCCTAAGTATTTTATCCTTCATGTGGCTCGTGTGAATAGTGCTACTGCATAGGAACTGCTGTGTGGATTCAGCTGGTTAATAAAAGTAAAGCACTTAGAGCAGTCCCCGACATACAGTAAGTGCCACAGAAGTGCTTGCTATGACTATCATCCTAATAGTTCCTTCTGTTGCATCCTCCAGCTGATTATTGTTTGAATGTGAGTCACAGTTGTTTTGGGTGCTGCCCAGTTCCTGTTCAGGTGAAGCTAGGGGTGGGGCAGAACTGGATCTTGGGCATCGTTTTAACAGTGTTAACCTAAAAATAAAAGGCCAAGGTAAGAGGCAACAGTATTTATTTATTTAAGATCCAAAAGCAAAGCTAGCTATTTAGGAAGCACTGATTCAGGCAGAAACCCAAAGTATTCTGATTAGGAGGAAAAGGCAAGGGGGAATTTATGAGAAAGGGAAGGGGAACAATTACATCAATAGAAGAAAGGAATTTCTATATGTGCAGATAAGCTAACATAGTGATGCTAATTCTAAAAAATTGCTTTCATTTTTAGTCAGGTAGTCCTAATATCTGCTTTCTTGTTATCTTTGCAAACAGTTGTTTGAGATACAATGTTGCTTTAGGCCCAGTCCAAAGGTTATTTTGCTGTTTTAAAATTCCAAAGGTTTGAGGAGTAAGATGTACAAGGCAGTTCTTCTAGGATATAATTATTATTGCCTCATATGTTCTATCTTGCTTAGGAAAATGAAGCTTAATGTTCCTAAGAATAAAAGTACCCTTGTGGGCAAGTCTTACACTCCAATACTAAACTAATGTTTGTTGCTTACTCTTCAGAAACAGGCTGACAGTTGCTCTCTGTGTATCAGTGAACTAGGCCACATAACAAATTGCCCCAAAACTCTGTAGCTTAAAATAACAACCATTTATGTTTGCTCATGGTCTGCAGTTCATCTGGGTTGTTCTGCTGATCTGGACCAGCCGTAGATAATCTCCGCAGGCCTCACTCATGCATCTGTGGTCAGCTGGAGGATTAGCTACAGGCTGGTCCAGAATGGCCTCCCTTGTGTGTCTGGCAATTGTTGGTTGTGAGTTGGGGCAGTGAATTTGACTGTGCTCTGTCTGTGGTCAACTAGCAGGCAACCTTGGACTGGTTGCCACAGTGCAACAGAGGCCTCAGAGAGAGAGAGAAGTGAATAGGACTTCTTGAGACCTATGCTCAGAACTGATACAATGTTCCTTTCCACCACACTCTGTTGTCCAGAGCAAGACAGGAAGGCCGGCCCAGATTCAAGGGGTGAGAAATAGACCCCTCCTCTTGGTGGGCAGGACTGCAAAGTCATATTATCAAGGGGCATGAATGCAGGGAACCCTGAAATATTAGTCACAATTACCACACTCCTACACCAAGGCAAGAACGCTTTCAGCATTGATTTCCTTTCAGCGTTGCTTCATCTCACTAGCAGCCCACTTGTGAACTAGTTCAGGGGAAAGTTCCACAGATGGTGGGCCTCACCCATTTACCCTGATTCACATCTGTTTCACTTTCAGAGGGTGACATTTCTTGGCAATGAGCCCACATCTGAGTCTATTTGAGAATGTGATCCTTTACCCCACCCCCTGTAAGGATGATTCATTTCCCTCTCTGTCCTGGTTTCTGAGAGAAGTTGCTAGTTTTCCAGTATAGATTTACCAAGATGCTAAAGACAGTTCTCAGATTAGTGGCTAAATAAATAAATCTTTGTTGACGTGCCAATTCAATCAATCATGAACTAATTAACTCCAGGTCCTGTTAGAAGCAATTGAAATGTCATTTCTCATGGTCAGGAGGCAAAGAGACCTTGCAGTTAATCCAGTAATCTCCCTTCCTTCTGGTATCTCCCCCCTTAAGCCACTGAGTCAGGACCATGGACCCCTGGTGGCCATGCAGGGACAGATTTATTCTGCCACAGATTCTATTTGCCTTCTGGCCCCTAGAGGGTTACCAAATGGTCTGGGACAGGCTGTGGAGAAAGGGGAGGTTGTACACCTGTCGCTCACCTCCCACACTGCATCGCTGCTCTTTCTCCAGCCCACAAGGGAAAACAGAGTAGCCCCAGCCCTACTGCACTCCGGGTCACAACATAGAAAACCAGAAGGAATGGTCACTCCTGGGTGGAGAGAATACTCCTAAAAGGCGGAAAGGGAAAAGAAAAAGTTCTGTTCAAAAAACTAAGAACATTGAGCAGAAAAGCAATGCTAACTTAGGTATATATGACTAAGCTTGCCATTTATAACTAATTATTAGTTGGTAATAAAATCATGCATATATTATGTGTTTAAAGTTATTTTTGCTCTATGTTTTTTGCTTGATCATATTAGGCTTTCTTCTATATTTGGTGTTCTCTTCTACAAGTAAAATGTCATATAACATTGTGTTTAAAAGAATTCTAGTAAGATCCAATTGGGTTATATATATATATATATATATATATATATATATGTGTGTGTCATAGGCACATATATACATGTACATATACATATACACATACGAGGTTGGACAATTAAGTTCGCGAACTCATCCTAGAAAAAGTGCTATATAACTCATTGTTGAATATCATTATGGTCACCTTTGAAGTACTCCCCTTGGGAAGCTATGCACCGACACCAGCACGTAGTCCACCCTTCAAAGCAATTTTGGAACTCTTTTTCTGGAATGACCATCAGAGCTGTCGTTGTATTACTCTTGATGTCCTGAATGTCATCAAAATGTCTTCCTTTCAATATTTCCTTTATCTTAGGGTAAAGAAAGAAGTCATTAGGGGCCAGATCAGGTTGAGTAGGGAAGGGGTTCCAATACAGTTGTTTACTGACTAAAATCTCCCTCACAGACAGTGCCGTGTGAGCTGGTGTATTGTCGTGATGCAAGAGCCATGAATTATTGGCAAAAAATTCTGGTCGTCTAAATTTTCACACAGCCTTTTCAGCACTTCCAAATAGTAAACTTGGTTAACTGTTTGTTCAGCTGGTACAAATTCATAATGAATAATCAATCCCTCTGATATCAAAAAAGGTTAGTAACATTGTTGCAACAAGTTCCCAAACTTGTCAGACCTTGTATACCTATGTATACATATGTGTATTTGTGTATATGTACACATGCATATATGTACACATTCATATTATACATATGTATATATACATGTATATATGCATATGTTTTTATACCTATATAATCTGTAATATTTATATATTTTGGAGTAAAATGTGTATTTTATACCTAAAATATTTACATATAATGTAAATTTACATATAAATGATTTATAACTATTATATATAATATATATCTTTCTATCTTATATAGCTAAGTATAAACATATATGTATACTTACATAAGAATTGGATTATAGTGATTACGCTTAGGGGGATATTTTTTTTTAATTTTCCTTTCCAAACACTTTGACTTTTTACCATGAGGATGTACTTACTAGCTTTATAGTTTTTTAAAAGTTGTTCATTTGTATATTTCACGGAGATTCTTCTAGCCTTTCTCATCTCATTATCCCCAGCTTAAATTGTAAATTGTAAATTTTACATAGAATCCTTCCTAAAAAAAAATAATAATAATAATTACTCACGGTACCCTACCAGAAGGATAGTGGGATTCACGGGCAGACAGAACTGAATCAGTCATTTTGTTGAGCGGCTGATGCAGCCCACAGCCTGACCCTCCCTGGGTGGGACCCCCACCCTCGAGGAGGAACCCCCTTGCAGCCCCTGGCACTCATGGGCGTGGGCGTTGGTGGCATCTCTCCTGTCCTCCCCCAGGGTCGAGGGGGCAAAGGCAGCATCTATGTGTGGGCCTCTGGAGACGGCGGCAGCTACGACGACTGCAACTGCGACGGCTACGCCTCCAGCATGTGGACCATCTCCATCAACTCTGCCATCAACGACGGCAGGACGGCCTTGTACGATGAGAGCTGCTCCTCCACCTTGGCCTCCACCTTCAGCAACGGCAGGAAGAGGAACCCCGAGGCTGGAGTGGTGAGTGGCCGCTGGCCCTCTGTGAGGCTGTGGAATGCTCGGACAGTGTGACGTCATCCGCGATACTGTGACATCACAGGAGGAAAGGGAGCTCCCCCTTTCCTAAAAAGTCAGAGCGTGTTTTGAAGGGAGATCCTTTCTCTTCCAAGCGTGATAATACTTTGTTATCAAAGCAGAAGCCTATGTATGATGTGCAAATTGAAAGCAAGGACATGATGACCCTCTTCCAGCTCATTTTCCATAGACTGTCTTTCTTGTTTATTGTTTTGGTTTAGAAAGAATGACAAACTCCAGTTTATCAAGAAGCTACCCTGGCAGATCACTTATAAAGAGAACTAATGTTAAGAACTGAGGCATCACATCACTACCCCAATCTGAGCCAAGAACCCATCCATGTATTACAGTAATTAAAAAATTGCATCCATGGATGGGCATTTCTGGGTCCATAAACCTCCCAAAATTGGGCACACACATATATTTTCTCAGGGAAAGAGTAGTGGTTTTGATTATAGATTAAAATGTATCAATGAGAAAACTAAAAGATTAAGAATCACAGTCTTCAATTATTTATTGCACTTTTCTGAGCAGTTCCTCCTTCCTGGGCAATGAGGTATAATGGCGAATTTTTCAAGTCCCTTAGAAATATATATCTGTAGAGTATAATGAACCTTTTGGGATCTCTTCCTCTCTCCGGGTATTTCACTCACATATGGGCCATTCCTCAGACCTCCAAGCCAGGAATTTAAGTAGATGGTTCAAAAGTCCTGCTGAGTTAGTTACATCCTGACTATCTACTCACCTCAGCCGCAGCTTCCCAAGAGAGGAGGGCAGGAACTCGGAACGAAATCATTACCAACCAGTGCTTCCACTCCAAGTTCCCACCTGGGTTCCACTTTGGCAAGCTGGCCAGGCTCTCACATGAGCCAGATGATCCCTTTACCACAGGAGATACAGACTTTGGCCTGACTCCCACCATGAGCCCTCCTGGACTCCCCTCTTGGTCTTGAGGAAGATGGAGACTGTGCCAGCTCCTACCAAGCAGAAGGTGACTTAAGTCCCTTTTATCCTATGAGCAGTACAGGCAGAAAGGGAGAAGCGCAGAGCAGAAAAGGATAAGTGGAAGAGGCCCCAGTCCTGTTCTGTTTGGAAAGCTTCTCTCCTCCACCTAGAAGCTCCATTCCCAGCCCCAAGGGCCTCCCAATAGTGTCACTTTGTCCTCAACCTTATGTATAACTATCTTTCTACTTGGGCTGGGAAAGGGCCTGGAGTTCCCTCTGAATATTGTAACTTTCCCCGAACACATGCCGTTAAACCTCCCTGATACTTTGCTCCTCAAAATACTAGGTCCACTTGATCATCCTACAGACAGAGGAAGGATCATTTCTGTGGTTCATACATGATTTTAATGAAAACCTGACTCTTACAAACATTGAAAATGATGTTTATCTCTTTGTGCAAGTTCTTTAAAACTTGTTTGATCAGTAAGAAGATCTTCCCCCTTAAGAAGAGTTGTGGAGGTGATCACTCACATATTGGTTATTTTGGCTCAACATGTCTCAGAATCCCTCTATGAATTTTATATGTAGAGAAACATTTTTTTAATGGCCTCTCCTTCTAGGCAAGCTTTATTTAACTGAGCATGTTTATTCTTCCCTTTTTTGAAATGCCATTATTTCCTTCCTGAAGGGAAAGCGTGGATGCAATGGCCCTTGGGCTTTCTGAAATCTGATCCCAAGTCACAAAACTCACCATCGCATTGCCTATGGTGGTGGTAATGACTTGTCACTTTCCACCTATCTTGTTTCCTTTTAGGATCCAAGAAATAAATCTTTCTAATCTGTGGAATAGCTGCAGATATGTGTCTCTGAACAATTACTTTTTTCTTTGTCTTGTGGATGCTTTTTGCCTGGGCTACTAGGAAGCTCAGATAAAATATATGGCAAAATAGATAATATATGGGTGCTGAGCTTATTCTTACCTTCATCTTAATCTTCTTCAGAACAAGGTAGAGTTTAAGTTAAAGAAATGAATAGTCCTCTGCTCCATATTGTTTGGGGGTTCAAAATAGCGTGGCTTATTCACTCATTACTCAATATCTTCCCTTTCAGGCAACCACGGATTTGTATGGCAACTGCACTCTGAGGCATTCCGGGACATCTGCAGCTGCTCCTGAGGCAGCTGGAGTGTTTGCACTGGCTTTAGAGGCTAAGTATGTTTCCAGCACAAGGCCAAGGGCCAGCTCTGTGGAGTGGACTAACATGTCTCTCCATCCAATACCAGGTGTCCATGAAAACAAAAGCGGGCGTGAGAGCCTGTGCACAGTCAGCATCAATGAACTTCGGTGGGCTTTTCTAAATGAACCATCAGCTCTAAGACACACACACACACACACACACACACACACACACACACACACCACAAAACTATATCTCTAGGAGAGCACAAGACCCCAACACCCAACTGCACATAGCTGCTTACTCAGATACTAAATAGGGGCATGTAGATATTTTTTCTTCATAAAAACTTCCTTTTATCCTCTGTGGATCCCTTGGCTATTTTACTCCAGTAATACAATCAACTAAATGAAGGAAAACCATTGCCAAGCTGGGTATCTTGCAAGATATTTCAGAACCCCATGTGACAAACAGGGTGCTCCCACTCAAGATTTGTTAACTTATAAAGTGAATTCACTTTTTAACACTGAGACAAGATGGGCAAAATCATGCAGTATAGACCAAGAAGTGGGCTTTACTGGGAAACCTCCCAAGCCACGGATAAGAGGAGACCATATTCTCTGTTCTCACCATCCCACAGAGAGGCCGCATATCACTACTGCTGGGCACACCTTGGATGTGAGCATCAGCCAAGGCACTTGCCCACTGCTACTCTATATTCTTTCAATGCAAGCCAGAAGCTGGCCTTGTGTTTGAGCAATGAACATATGGGCTTCAGGCCCCTGCTCTCAGTGTGAGTACAAATGCCTGCTATGTAGGGGGTTGTCTGACAATGCAGCACCAGCAATTTGTGAGAAGTTGGATTCAGGCTCCTGGGAAAGCAGAGTTGAGTCCCCATCCCATACCTCTCAGCTGTTACTAGGCAACCGGAGCTCCTAGCATCAAATCTCCAGGCAGCTCCACTTGTCTCTCTCCACATATGCAGTGCATTTTCTGATTTGCAAAGGAGGCAAGAGTTGATTCCTAGAATATGAAGGTACTTTAAATGTTTACCTAGTTCATCCCTCTGCCTTCAAGCAGGAAAGGCATAATTATCTACCTTTTAAAGATAAGGTCCCAAGTTGGGAGGTACTCCTGTCTTTGGATCAGGCCAAAATTTGATTCTTCTAACAAAAGACAGGTGGAAATTTTAGAGTACCAGGACATGGACACTGGTCAAAGAATTCCTATTTATACACAGAGCCTACTGTCCTATTAAAAAGACACCAAAACTTACTCACAGATTATGTGCATTTCCTGAATATGAAACTGTTCAGCCTGATCCCATGGAGAATTCTGGAATATAAATTATGCCTCAGAGATTGTTCTACCTCAAGGCACAGGAGCTGGGCTGCCATGTTCCAGTGCTGGCCATCATTGGCTAAGAACCACACCTAGGAAAGCCAACTCTGAGGTACCTCTGGCTTTCTGCATCTGTGGGCAAAGGGGCAGCAGTTAAAACCACTGATCAGCATGAAATAACCCAAGAGAAAGCCCAGAGGGAAGAGGAAGGAAAATTCTCCATGAACAGTTCCTACTGCTCTTCTCTCTTTATCTTGAGACAAGGCAACTGGGAGTCCTCAGTGAAGTGTGTGCTGCAGTTGAGGGCTCTTTCCCACTCAGAGGCTCAATAAGAAAAGTTTACAAAGCAATTTGAAAGCACTGAACAAAGTTTCCTGTCAAAATGTATGTCCATCAGGACCATGAAAGAGGGAAAACTATCACGCCCATAACTCCAGGGACAAAAAGGAAACACTTCCTCTCTCCTGCCCAGTCACCACTTGTTGTTCAATCTCATAAAGTACTTTTCTGCCCAATGCTTGAAAGTGACTCCTTGGGTCACATGGAATATTGCTCACATTTCCCAGTGTGACCAATATTGGAGAAATTTCAAAGGATTTCTTTAGTGGGGTGACTGCCACCTTCAAATATGTTGTGTTCTTTCCATGACTCAGGTTTTCTGCATGGTTCTAGAGGGCTGAGCTAGGTTTGAGAGGTAGATATCACAAAGAGGCAAATTTTTGACTTAAGAAATCCATTTGTAATAAAGTGGCCCATATTGAACTAGAACAGTGTTTCCAAAACTTACCTTCCAGGGGATGGATTTTTTAAATATAAGCTTTTAATCAAATATAATAGACACTGAGAAAAATGTACAAATATTAGGTATAGCACAATGATTTCTTACAAGGCTAACAGATCTATGTAACCATCACCTAAATCAAGAAGCAGACCATTACCTAAGTACTAGTCTGTGCTCTTTTGCTCTGAGAATCTGAGATTCCTCTATGAGGTTGTGTGTGGTTATAGGTCATTCATACTCAATATGGAATATTACTCCATTGCATAAATTGACATTTGGGTTGTTTCCACTCTGGGACTATTATGAGTAATATTGCTATAAAAATTCTTCTACATGTGAAGCTATGGATGCATTTCTGTGGGGTGTTTACTAGAGAGTCATTATGCAGAGTCAGGGGTATACATATGTGCAGCTCTAGTCGATACTGTCAAGTAGTTTTCCAAAGTGGATGTACCCATTGACACTCCCTCCAGTAGTGTATAAGAGTAACAATTGTTTCATATCCTTGTCAATTTTTGGTATTGTCAGTCATCCACACTTTAGCCATGCTTATAGGTGTGCAGTGGAATCACATTGTAGTTTTAATTCCTATTTTCCTGATAACTAGTGAAGTTGAGCACTGGAGGGAGTTTTGAAAATGATAGATTCCCAAGTCTCAGCCAAGAATCACTGAATACAAATTCTTAAGGATGGATGGCCCAGGAGTTTGTCTTTTCAACACCATTCCAGGTATTACATAAGCAGCCAGCCCATTGCTGGTCTGTGGACTAGAGTGTGTGGTACTCAGTAAGACAATGGCTCTATGAACCTATGAATCAGGGTGCCATTGTGAAGAATGTGAATATCTAGACTCGGCCTCTGATTAGGTGCTGTTATTAGATCAAAACTGAAAACAGAAAATCCAATAACAATAGTTAAACCAAGAGGGAAATGTGGTGTTTTTCTGTCACGTGAAAGATAATACAGAGGTAAGGAGCCCAGGGCAAGTATAGGGGTGCCACCATGAATCAGGGACTCCAGTTCTTTCTGGATTTCTGCCCTGCCACTTCATGTTCTATAGATGCTACTGGAGCGCCAGCCATCCTGTTTACATTTCAGGCAGGAAAGGGGGAAGAGCAAAGGCAATAAAGAATTCCACCAGCTGAGTCAGCCCTGTTTAAAGGTTTTTCCAAAAAGCCCCATCCAGTGGCGCTTATTTCTGCTTATTTCTCATTGACCAGAACTGTCACATGACCATCCCCATACAGCAAGGGAGGCTGGGAAATAAATTTTCATAACTGATAACATTGCCGTTCTGAATAAAATTGAAGTTTTCTTAATAAGGAAAGAAAGAAGATTGATAGGAGGGAGAGAACAGCTAGTGTCTTTCAACAACTAAGTGGGCAATCACTCACCTCCTCTGGATCTCTATTGTCTTATCCAAAAAATAGAAAGTTAGATCATCAAGAAGTCTCTCAAGATTTCCTGGACATTTTAAGCCTACTTCAAAAATATTATGCCTTTAGAAAGTGTATTTTTAATTGGATATGTGTAGATTTTAGGATTGAATGTTCCTTAAAGCTGAAAACATTCATTTACTTATAAATATTGTAACCAATACTTTACCTGGGACATAGTGTCTATTCTCTTCTAACATCACTGCTCAATATGAGATAGATTTTATTATTAATAATAATAACCTCTTTATTGAGTGTCTATTACAGTGCTAGTTACTTTTCACATGGTGATCTACGTTTACACCCTACAACAAGCCTCTAAGGCCTTATCCCTATTTCATAGATGGGAACCCTGAGGCTCAGGTTATTAAAGTAACTTGTCCAAAGTCATACAGTTGGAGAATACCAGAGCTGGGATTTAAACCCTAAGGAGCCTGGGCTCCAACTCCAGGGTCTTCCCTTGGACCAACTGTGGGACTTAGAAAAGTCGCCATCTGGGCTGAGGGTATCACCACTCATTCTGCCCAGGACAAAGGGCCACAGTGAATGAATTGGCTCTTCCTCAAAAGTGATGCCCAAAATCAGGTTTCAATTTCTTCAAGATAAGGTTTTGCATACCACATCCATACCAGGGTGTCATGTAAACTAGATTTTCTCTCATAGTTTCTAGGAGTTAGGCAAATGGGGACTGTGAAGAAAACTCCAGCTTGACTTACAAATGCATTGTTTTTCTCAGACTGGAAATAATCCAAAACTTTGAAATTGTTTTTTAATCCTGTCAGCATGTAGAGAATAGACTCTGAATTTTAGAGCTGAAAGAAAACAAATGGATCTTTCACTACTCCAAATATCTTTTCTTCTGCATGAAAAGCACCAGGCCCAGGGCAATGAAGCTACTTGCTCAGGTTCACACACCTTACTCTGTTCAGATAAAGATCGTATCCAGTATGTAGACGGATTAAAATTCTGTTTGCTTCTAGAATTTAAGAGTCGTTAGTAGAAATCATTCTTCCAATCATAACACTGCAACTTCTTTAAAACATTTAGGTTTCCAAGTTCTCTAAAGATGCATGTTCTCTCCTTAAATTCCCTTTGCTGTCTTGATCATTAAGAGGAAAATGTTAATTGGGTCCAGGAGAATTTGATATCATAAATAGAAGAACTCTGAAAGACAATGGTGAGGGGCAATCCTCACAAACAAGAAACTCAAAAAAAGTCAGTGTTTCATACTTTATTCTTAGCAAAAAGTTGATAAGCCTACTATAAGTTTTGGCTAGTGTAGGACTCTATAGGAGACCCAGTTCTGCCAATTATACAAATATTAATAGGTGAACAATCATAAGTATGTTAATACGCTCACTAGGACCTACTTTAGGTGGTTTAGGAAACAGCCCTTCGTAAGTCTCCCTGGTGAAGAGTCCTCTTTTAGCCATACAAGACCAGCCTCTTCCTGGGCTTCGGACTCACTTTTCTAGAG